ATACAAGTATGTAATCCAAAGAAGCCCAAGAAAATGTCAACCTTTGGATACTATCCATAAATGGAACAAAAAACTTTAGCAAACAATTCAACCTTGCCATGAATCTGTGATCTGCAAACCTATGTTTGCTTGAAGATTCAGGGGAAATAGACAGGTTTCTTCTCCCTCAATTCGTTCAATTTTGCAATATGCGTTGTCAAGTTGTTCTTATGGCCTGCTTGTCTACAGCATGTCCAGATTTGAAGCTGAGTTCAGTGTAATTGCAGACTCAGAGATGAATCCTTTTCCATTTATGGAGATTAGGGAATTCCATCGGTGTAGAAAAGATGCCATGTTGTTAATTGAGCTTGATGAATTATGATTAGACCGACATAAATCAAACTTTGGAGTGATTACAAATAGATGATCATATACCCTTTAAGGACAAATTAATTAACACAAACTTAATTATTCCTTCAATTATATGACAAAAAATGAATGTTGTTACCATAGAAAAAGCTATGCTACCTATTCTTCTATGACCAAAATTACTATGACAATTCGTAACGGAACTTCAATAATTGATGCATCTATTTTTTATTTAAAAAAATAAAGTCAAATTTTTTTAGATAATAAAAAAATTATAGAGACATTTGAATCTCCATCTGCTGAACATTTGAATGAAATTTCAGATAAAATAAAGTACAATAACTATTATTGTCGAAATAAATCAAAATTTGATAGATTCACGATATATGAAACAAACACATACTTTCTTTTATATATGGAACATACAAAATTACACACTTTATTTACTTATTATACAAACTTAATTTTACATTACTTAGGAAGACAAACTCACACATACTGGTATTAATTTGGTACAAAACTATTTTTAATTATTTATTTTTCCAAGATTTTTTTTCTATTTTTAATCTTTTCATGAGAAATTAACCGGCAAATCTTGGATACATACCCTATGTCCACATCCCGTAAATATATATAAAGAGCATGAGTTGTGAGTTGTTCATGCTCCCAACTTCTAGGAGTTGAGAGTGAAAGCCATCCACCTACGGTTGTGCTTGCTGGGTCTGGTCTTTCGGGGGCTCTGCTGTCTTGTTCCTAGGTCTGGCAAATGCCTGGATCAAGCATGGAGGCTCAGGTCCCCTGTTTTTCAACTTAACCAACAGCTGGATCAAGCACCGCAAAATTAAAGGCGCAGCAGCTGTGATCAAGGCGAGTCGAAACGTTTCTTCATCCGGGGTAACAGCAAAGATTGCAGATCCATAAGTTATAATCATTGAAACGCAAGCAA